AGTGGGGCAAGATCCACCCCCTGCCCTTTCCCCCCTCCCCTCACTACTTCATATTGTTCGCAATGCAAGCCTTGTGTTCCCATGGGTCACGTGGGCGGCGCAGCTTTGTATTTGCAGCCTGGATTAATTGCTTTGGGGGGGGGGGACATTGCGGACCACCAAAATTTTCTCACGGACCACCAATGGTCCTCAGCCCACCTGTTGGCAACCACTGGACTAGATGACCTCCAACGTCCCTTCCAACTCTGTTATTCTGTTTGCATCCTCTGAAGTGCTAACGCTGCTTTATAATGCCCTGGTAAGGCCACACCTAGAGTCCTGCATCCAGTTTTGGTCACCACAAAAAATACAGAAAAAAAAGTTGAGATTCTAGAAATAGAGTGCAGAGAAGAGCAACAGAGAAGCAACGGACGGAAACTCATCCAGGAGAGAAGCAACCTAGGAGTAAGAAGAAATTTTAAATCGGGGGGAACAATTAACCAGGGGAACTCCTTGCCACCAGAAGTTGTGGGTGCTCCGACACCGGAGGTTTTTAAGAAGAGATTGGACGGCCATTTTGTCTGGAATGGCGTAGGGACTCCTGTTTGGGCAGGGGGTTGGAGTAGATGACCTCTAAGGTCCCTTCCAACTCTGGAAAAAAGCAGGAAGCCCAAAAGACAGGAAGACACCCCCCCCCATCAGAGAAAAACGGTGGGGATGGGGACACACAAACGCCCACTTCTCTTCCTGGTCTGTTTCTCACAATTCAAGTAGACCAGTGAAATTCCTGCACTCCTCGTGTTTCGGGGGGTTAATTTGGGGTGACCTTTGTGGGGCGTGGATGGGACGGCCTTGATTCAGAGGGAGGTGGGTCCCTCGAGCGTGACTCTTGCCCGGGGGGGGGTCTTCGAATCGTTTAACTCTCAGCCCGTCCTTGACTCCTGAAGATTTTTCCTGAATTGAACACAAGCTCCAGCTCCTTTGTCGTGCAATGGTGGTTTATTCATGAGCTCAGCAAACAACCAATACTCTAACCAGGCAAGGTTAGAGTTGGGTTTGAGTTGGCTCCCTTTCCTTTTATTGCCATTGTCGTGAGACACACACCCCACCACACTCAGGCCTATACACAGTTCTAGTTCTGGCCTAACCCATTATCCCTAAATGTTATTAGCCCTATAACATGTCTACATCCCTACCCTATTCCGACCCCACACTAACTGATCCCCACCTGGTGCCACCTTCACCATGTTTAACCTGTCTTTAACTACCATCTATATGTGCCCCAACCCCCTTTAACCGTATGCACCACATCGATACATGAAAAGAGCCGCTCCCGGCAGCCCCGCAGTTGTTGCAGAATCCATCCTCCTCCCCCGTAGTTGTTGCAGGATCCATCCTCAGCTCTGTTGAGTCATGCCAAAGTCATTGGCCAGCACACAAGCAGAAATACAGATCCAGCAGCAGCAGAGATACGGTGACATGGCCAGCTGACTCGCAGTGAGGCCTATTTGGGGCTGACAGCTGACATTCAAACCCCCTGCCAGAGATCTGCCTGTAAAGCAATAAAAAGGAAATAATTATCACCGTAGTGGTTCACGCCCCCCCCCCCCTTGGGTTTCCCAGGGTACTCCGTTGAAGACGTGGTGCATTAACACCGATGTGGCCATCCCGTGATGCCTGACCTCAAGGATATCCCTTCCACTTGACTAAATATTGTAGACCTCCTCTATATAGCCGTGAATCAAGAATAGACTCTGTCTCGCAATTGATCCGCCCTCACTGGACCAGGTAACCGGTTCTCTGTCCCGGTTGCTGGGTGGGCGTGGCAGTGGCCTAGCCAACTTCCTGCACCACCTTGGGAATGAAACCGGGCCACGAGGGGCCACGCTGCATTCCCCCCCCCTTTCCGCCCCATTTTTGACCTAGTAGGCTGCCCTGGGCTCCCAAGGCCCTCCGGAAACACGCCCGTTTCCGGCCTCGTGGAACAGTGCATTCCTTAAGTGCCTAGATAATCGCTTTGGCAGCCCAAAGTTGTCAGAGCGCAAGAATATTACTGGGAGAGCCTGATTGATGACTCTTAGCTATGGATGTGTCCCATCGGAGAATATACATCCAGAGGGTGTGGGGAAGACCAGGGTCAAGGGGGAAAGGAGGGATGGATTTTAGTGTCGGCTGCACCCAGCTAATGCCGACATGGCCGCTCCTAATAAATCAATTTTATTTTCTCTGCGGCTAGAGACTTACGATTCGAATGCGGGTAGATTGGTTGGAGTCCTGACAGCCAGTCGATACTAAAATACATCATTCATTTGCCCCGCACTTACCTGCGATCCAAAATGGGCTGCGTAGGGACTCCGGGGAGGGGAGGGGAGGAGTAGGCGGGGTCAGACAGTCGTCGGAACGACCAGTTTTCACCCGACCAGATGTAAGATTAAAAACCGTTTTGGCCGAACTGGCGTGAAACCAGCTGAAGCCCCACTCCTGGTCTCGCCCTCCCTTCCTTCCCAGATCTCCTCCCTCTTCCCGACGACCTCTCGGAGGGGAACAACCAGCTCTCCCCCAGCAGTCCCTCCTCCGTGGCTTCAGGGAGTGACCTGCGGTTCCATCACCTCCACGGGAACAACGCCGTCATCACCAACGGGGGGCGCACGGCCCTGCGCCAGAACTGCCGCAGTGAATTCAACGACGCCATTGTCATCTCCAACCGGTCAGTGAAAGGACGAGTTTGCAACTTGTCCGGGATGGGATTCGACCGGTTCGGCACGGGTTCGGGCAAACCAGGAGCTCCGAAGATCAGCTGGGAGCGAACCGCTTCTCTCCGACGATCAGCTGTTGGGCTCCCCGGACCAGTTGTTCCACCAGTTGAATCCCATCCCTGTGACTAGTCAAGGTTGTGTGTTGAGTCCCTTACTCTATACTCTTTATGGGCATGACTGCATTCCCGTTCACGCTAGTAACACTATTGCTAAATTGGCAGATGATACAACAGTGGTGGGACTCATGAGGTGGACCAACGGTTGCTTTCGTGGTGTGGAAACCATAACTTGGTCCTCAACGCCAATAAGACCAAGGAGCTGATAGTGGACTATAGAAGGAAGAGATCAGACATCCAGCCCCTCCTTATCAATGGAGACCGAGGGGAGCAAGTGGCCAGTTTTAAGTTTCTGGGTGTTACCCTAAATGAGGACCTGACCTGGGGGGGTTCACATTGCAGCCTTGGTCAAAAGGGCCCAGCAGAGATTATGCTACCTGAGGCTTCTCAGAAAACAACAACTGAATGGAAAACTGCTGGTGACCTTCTACCGCTGCACCAGAGAGAGCATCTTAACTTCCTGCACCTGTGTAGGGTTTGCCACTTGCACAGGGGCAGATAGGAAAGCACTCCGGGGATGTCATTGCCCAGAGGATCATGGGCTGCCTTCTCCCCTCTTCGCTTTATCACTCCCGCTGCCTTGAGAAAGTTCAAAATGTTCTCAAAGATTTATCTTATCCTGGGCTCCCTTGTTTTGAACTATTACCATCTGGCAGACGGTACAGAGAATAAAAACAAGGCTGAAAAACAGCTTCTATCCCAGGGCAGGAGCTCTGTTGAATTCTACTGTATAGTGCAATATGAATGCGATATCAGGAGTTTTCAGTTCAATATATATAGAACGTGAAGGATGTGTCCTTGTGTTTTATTTTCATGGTCATGTCATGATGTGCACTGAAGACGGCATTTAATTTTGTTGTACGAGGTGCAAGGACAATAAATTAAACTAACCTAGTCCTCAGTTAACGACTGCAACTGAGCCTTAGATTCTTGCTTGCTTGCAGCTAAGGGAACCCCTGCAAGTTGTGAAGTTATGAATGGGGTGGTTAAGCTTTGCCCCGTTCTGCGACCATTCTGGGCTGCAGTTGTTGAGGAAATCGATGCAGTCGTTTGAGTTAGTCACACGGCCGTTAAGTGAATTGGGCTTACCTCCCCTCCATTGACTTGGCTTGTCAAGGGGTCGCAAAAGGGGATCTCACATGATTCCCGCCCCCCCCGGACGCTGCGTCCATCATAAATACGAGTCGGTCGCCGAGCATCGGATTTTTATTAATGGGGATCTGCAACGGTCATAAGTGCAAGAAGGGTGATCGGTTGCTTTTTCCTTCCAATAGTCGATAAAAGAACTGTTGTGAATCGAAGGCAGGTACAGGTACTCCTCGACTTATGGCCGCAATTGAGCCAAAAACTCATGTTTCCAAATGAGATGTTTGTGAAAAGTGAGTTTCGTCCCATTTTGTGACCTTCCTTGCCCCGGTTGTTAAGTGAACCAATGCAGTTGTTGAGTTAGTCATATGGTTGTTAAGTCAATCTGGCTGTTGTGGCCCGGCGGTTACTGGCGGAGCCGGCAAGCAGAGTCAGACTGTGAGGAGGTTGGGGAGGAACCTGGGCCAGTCCTGGAGTCTGGGGAAGGCTCAGACGAGGGCTCTGCGTCAGAGGCAGAGATGGGGCCAGTGCCGTCCGACAGTTATCAGCTGCCTTCAGAGTCGGAGATCAGTGGGGAAGAAGAACAGCTGGAGCCTGTTCCCAGTGTGCGCATGCACAGAGCTGCCAGAAGAAGGGAACAGCTAAGGAGCAAGGGTCGACTCGGGAGTAAAGCCACAGGTGGATGGTGAATGGCCCCTCCCATAGGGAATAAAAGAGGAGTGAATGGGGAGGGGGCTTTTGCGGGAGACAATTCGTTCGTTCGTTGCCGCAGTCTGTGCATCTCAGAGATTCTGTGCTGAGTCCTTCCTTGTTAGCACTGTGTTTGGAAATAATTACTTAGCAGCTTTCCAGGCTAGATAAGGTCTGTGCTCCTAATTAGACCCTGGGAAGACTGTTTGCCAGGCCTTTGCTGAAAGCAAATGCCAGAAATTCACCTCCGTTTAATGAAAGGGGTCTTGCCGGGATAAAAAAAATCTGCGTAGTGCTTTTTGGGGAAGCTGAGGTCAGAACACGGGGTCCCCCCATGGCTTGTCAGAAGGTTGCAAAAGGGGATCACATGACCCCAGGACGTGGCAGTGGTCATAAGTCCATGCCAGTCACCAAGCGTTCAAATTTTGATAACAACGTTAACGGCCGTTAGTGTGGAAAACAATCCTCGTTTGCCTCTTTCGGCGCTCTGGTAACTTTCGACGGTCGCTAAACGAACTGTTGTGAGTCGAGCACTGCCTCTAAGGGGTCGGGATGGGAGGAATTAGCAGGCAGTGCTCCGCTCAACTACATCAATTGAGCCCAGAATTCCAGTCGTTGGGCGCGATGGCTTGCCTCACGAGCTTTGATTCCCGCAGGCCCCTCCGGGATGGCGAACTGTTCGAAATCGTTATCCAGAAGATGGTGGATCGTTGGTCGGGGTCCATTGAAGCAGGTAAGGGGGGGAGAGATTGGGGGATCTGGAGGGGGGGCAGTGGGATGTGTCCCCACCCCCCTTAATGCTTTTGGCCTTTGTCGTCCGTGCAGGAGTCACCGCCATCCGTCCGGAAGACCTGGAATTTCCCAATACAATGACGGACATTGACTACGATACCTGGATGCTCAGGTAACTAAGTAAGGATGGAGGCAAAGAATGAGAACTAATCTGGGAGCCAGTTTGGTCTAGCGGTAAAAGGCACCAGGATAGAAACCAGGAGACGGGGAGTTCTAGTCCTGATTTAGCCATGAATGGCAGCTACGTGACTTTGGGACAATCACCAGGAGACTGGGAGTTCTAGTCCCGCTTTAGCCATGAAAACCAACTGGGTGACTTTGAGCCAATCACCAGGAGATTGGGAGTTCTGGTCCCATCATAGGCATGAAAGTTAGTTAGGTGACCTTGGACCAATCACTAGGAGACTGGGAATTCTAGTGCCATCTTAGGCCTGCAAGCGAACTAGGAAACTTTGGGCCAATCACCAGGAGCCTGGGAGTTCTAATCCCGCCTTAGGCATGAAAATCAGCTGGGTGACTTTGGGCCAATCACCAGGAGAATGGGAGTTCTAGTCCCGCCTTAGGCATGAAAGCCAGCTGGGTGACTTTGGTCCAATCACCAGGAGACGGAAAGTTCTCGTCCCACCCTAGGCATCAAATCCAGCTGGATCCAATCACCGAGAGATTGGGAGTTCTAGTCCCGCCTTTGGCTAGGCGACTTTCCCCCGAGAATTCTTGAATCTCAGCTGCTGGGGAGCCCGAACTGAGTCTTCCGATCTTACTTGGCCCCTGGAAAGCCCCAGTGCCTTTGGTCCTTTCCTCTTCTGTCCTCCCAGGAGGGCAAAAAAGTCAAGATGTCCGCCTTACTCTCCACTCCCCAACCCCCTTTTCTCCATGCGCAGCATTGCAACAGAGACCAGCAGCGGCGGGTGTAATTTTTTCTCCTCCCCACCTCTCCCTCCCTCTCCTTTCAGTGGCACCGCCATTATGCAGGACGGAAACACCCTGCGCAACAACTACGGCTGCGACTTGGACTCGCTGACCACCGGCTCACGCATTGGCATGATGCGGACGGTGAAGGGGGACCTGCACTACTTCATCAACAGCGTGGACCAGGGGGTGGCATGCTCCGGACTGCCCCCAGGGAAGGGTGAGGCCATTGTAGCGAAGGTCAAAGGTGGGGACATGATGGGTAGGGCGGGCCTTTCAAACAAAACCAAAATCAGGGGACTTCAACTCCCAGAATTCCTAGAACTTTTTTTTTTGTTTTGGATAGTAGACGGTGGGAATGCAGTAAGACGTAATACATCTTGACTTCAGCAAATTTTTAAAAAAAGAAAAAAAAAACCCAGCTGGCTGGGGGAATTCTGGGAGTTGAAGTCCACCCATGTTAAAAGACTGAGTCGTTGACTTACAACAGTTCATTCCAAGTTACAACAGCATAGAAAAATGTGATAGGGTCCCTTCTAATTCTTCTTATTCTATTCTATGCCGTGCCATGCCATTCTATCTATTCTATTCTATTTTCTGTTAATTCTATTTTCTATTCTATTCTATTCTACTTTATTAATTCTATTTTCTATTAATTCTAGTCTATCTGCTCTTCTATATTCTATTTTCTATTAATTCCATTCTATTTTCTTCTATTCTATTAATTCTATTTTCTGTTATTTCTATCTTCTATTAATTCTAGGTTATCTTCTATTCTATATTTTATTTTCTATTAATTCCATTATATTTTCTATTCTATTCTATTAATTCTATCTTCTATTAATTCTATCTTCTATTAATTCTAGTTTATCTTATATTCTATTCTATATTCTATTTTCTATTAATTCCATTCTATTTTCTATTCTATTTATTCTATTTTATTCTATTCTATTCTATTAATTCTATTTTCTGTTAATTCTATCTTCTATTAATTCTATTTTATCTTCTATTCTATCTTCTATTTTCTATTAATTCCATTCTATTTTCTATTCTATTCTATTCTATTTTCTAATTCCATTCTATCCTATTTTATTCTATTATATTTCTGTTAATTCTATTTTCTATGAATTCTATTCTGTTTTCTATTTTATTCTGTTCTATTAGTTCTATTCTGTTCTGTTTTCTATTAATTCCATTCTATCCTCTTTTTCCATTCTATTTTATTGTATTCCATTTTTTCCTGCCTGGGTTGAACGGAGCCCGATCCGATTTCTCCCCTCCGCTCTTTCTCGCCCCCGCTCAGAGGTCTACGCCGTGGTGGACCTCTATGGCCAGTGCGTCCAGGTGTCCATCACCAGCTCCACGGGGCCCCTGGACAACAGCCTCTCCACCAGCAACATCACAGAGAAGTCCTTCCCCATCCACTCCCCGGGTGAGCCCCCGATCCCCCCTTGAGGGTTTGGGGTTAGTAAAGGGCCCATGGTGTCCCCCGAGACTCGATGCCCCCTTGACCACCCTTGCCCCCCCCTCCAGTTCCCGGCGTGGCCCACCGTTTCCACAGCTCCTGCGGCAAGAACGTGGCCTTTCAGGACGACGGGTGCCGAGCTGTGCGGGTGTCCAGTTTCTGCCACGGCATCGTTTTCAGCATGAAGGAACTGAAGACGGATGAAATCTTTGAGGTGAGACCGTCCACACCTATCCTGAGGTGGGGGTGTCAACTCATATTTGATATGCCTAATGGTCTTTTTAGAGTTGCCAACAGAAAAGGAGAGGGGGGAGCAGTGCGGCAGCTTGGAAATCGAAAGGGCATTCTATGAATCGTTTTTCAAAGATAGTAAGTAGGTGACTGAAGTTTCTGCCAAGCAAAATTCTAACTGGAGAGCATGATCGATGGCTCTTGGCTATGGACGTGTCCCATTGGAGAATATGAATTACGATACACCCAGGGGGTGGGGGAGAAAACAGGGTCAAGGGTGACAGTGAATGATGTGTGTCAGAGTCGGCTAAACCCAGGCAGTGCCGGACCGTTTAACTTCCGATAAATCCTTTTGAAGGTTTGGAAGTTTGTCTCGAGACTCATTATTTAAATGGGGGTAACTGCCGGAATCCTGACAGCTAGCTGACTCTGAGAAACATTCATTCATTCAAAAAGATGGGACTATGAGGTTATGCGTTGACTTTAGGGTGATCAATAGACTGTGTGTACACTATCTATATCCCCTCCCACTCATGAAGGACATGTTATCCCACCTGGCCAAAGGGTACCTCGTGGAGACCCCCGTGGAACACTAATAAATACTAATCATTACTTACCTGTTTTTCCCCGAAAATAAGACCCTGTCCTATATTTTTTTTTGCCACCAAAAAAAGGCACCAGGGCTTATTTTCAGGGAATGTCCTCCACCGACTAACCTCACTTGCGCATGTCACCCTCGGCCTCCTTCCAGAAGTCCTTCTTCTGCGGCCGGCAAGGCTTTCTTGAAGGCCTCTGCAGCCTTCAGGATCGATCCAGAGATTTGTTCTCAGCTACAGAGGCCTTCAGGAAAGCCTTGCCGGCCTTGCCGGCTGCTGAAGAAACGGTCCGGCAAAGCAGGTGTTGGGGTCTGCGAGGCCTGGCTACAACTGTCCGAAGGTAAGTAGTAGGGCAACTCTACCCACCCATTCCCACCCTAGCGTAATTTTTACCCATCCACTCTGGAGTGGGCAGGAATCTTAATTAGGGCTTATTTTGGGGGGTAGGGCTTATATTGGGCACCATGTAAAAATCAAGCTAGGGCTTACTTTCAGATTAGGTCGTATTTTCAGGGAACAGAGTACTACCGCATATAGAATAGAATAACAGAGTAGGAAGGGACCTTGGAGGTCTTCTAGTCCAACCCCCTGCCCAGGCAGGAAACCCTACACCACTTCAGATGTCCACATGTGATGGACTTGTCCAAAAAGCAAAATAAATTCTGGACAAGAATACATACCTGGTTAGAGAAAATGATAAAACAACACATAGATTTAAAACCAGAAATATTTTTATCAGGTATAGTACCACAAAACTAATAAAGAGACGATATATTTAATAATACATGTTCAACACATCGCAGCAACAATTGTATTTGCAGAACATTGGAAAGATGAAGACACACCTACAGATGCAGTATAATTGGGAAAATATTAGACTGTGCAGAGATGGATAGATCAACATTAATTATAAAGGATAACGGAAGAAACAATACTTTTTAACATGGGATATGTTCACTCAATGGTTGGATAAAAGAGGTGGAAACTAGAAGATGAAAGATTAATAATATATATAAGAAAAGAATGCAAGAAATTATATATAAGCAAACATTAGTACTTATATTACACTTATTACTACTATTTTTATTACCAGTGTTATCATTATAAGTAAGAATTTAATCATGAATACCCTGTTTCTCCGAAAATACAACCTACCCTGAAAGTAAGTCCTAGCTTGATTTTTTACATGTGCGCCCAATATAAGCCCTACCCCCCCCAAAATAAGCCCTAATTAAGATCCCACCCACTCCAGAGTGGACGGGTAAGAATTAAGCTAGGGTGGGGATAGTGGCAGGGGGAATGGAGCTGCCCTACTACTTACCTTTGGACAGGTGTAGCCAGGCCTCGCGCACCTGCCTGGCCGGCCCATTTCTTCAGCAGCCGGCAAGGCTTTCCTGAAGGCCTCCGTAGCTCTGGAGAGTTGTCGGCATTTATCAGCTTCAGGAAGGCCTTGCCGGCCATGGAAGAAGGACTTCCGGAAGGAGGCCGGTGACGACGCGCGTAAGTGAGGTTAGTCCGTGGAGGTCATTCCCCCACCCCCGAAAATAAGACCTGGTGCCTTTTTTTTGGTGGCAAAAAAAAATTATAGGACAGGGTCTTATTTTCGGGGAAGCCCAGGTAAGTAATTATTACTGTTTTAATTATGCTTGTTATTATATTACTCTCAGTACCAGTTTATTAATACTTTGTATGAACAAACGGATCCAGACAATACACTGTTCATTAAGCATTTACGTATTTTAAAGAAGAAAAAGAAATGTATAAACCATTTTTTAAAAAACTCTTCAAATGGGTTAAGTTCCTGCTTCTCCTTTTGTGTCTCCTCAGGTGAAGATTGACAAGATGGACGACAAGTGGTCCGGATCGGTCCACGTGGGCTTGACCACACTGCTGCCCTCGGATGCCTCCTGCATGGCCACGGGGCTGCCCTCTTCTCTCCTGGAGCTGCGTTCCAAGGTGACCTGGCTAGTGACGGGCTCGGAGGTCCGGCGCAACGGCATCCTGCAGAAGCAGAATTACGGCTGCTCTCTGGAGCGTCTGGGGGTGAGTCGGGAGGGGGGCGTGGTCAGCAAGGGTGAAGGTCAACCAGAGGGAAGTCCTATTAGAGCAGGGGGTCTCCAACTTTGGCAACTTTAAGACCTGTGGACTTCAATTCTCAGAATTCCCCCAGCCAGCTGTTTCAGCCACTTTGCTGACCTGGAAAACCAAGGCATATACGAAGTCCCCTGTGCATCATGCCCGGCCACATACATTGGACAGACCAATAGAAGAATAAGTACCCGCCTGGATGAACACAAAAATGCAGTAAAAAAGCTGGAACACACGTCCTCACTACTCCAACACATGAAAGCCACAGGTCATAGCATCGACTTCAATGGCACCAAAACCCTGGCCACTATAGAGAATCCCAGCCACAGAATTATCAGAGAAGCCATAGAGATTGAAAAAAGACCTGAAAGCATGAATAGAAGAGATGATTCCACCAGACTGTCAATTATTTGGAAGCCTGCACTCACAAACAAAAAAATCTCCACACCACAAGCCAGGCAAACACCTGGGCACAAACAGATCCCCCCTGATACCTCCAGCTCAAACACACCCCAACCAGGCACCCAGATGAACAGAACACACCTCCAGCCAATCAGAACATGGCCAACCCCCCAACCAATCAGAATACAGCCAAACCCCCAACCAATGAGAACACCCCCCCACCCAATCAGAACACAGCCAAGCCCCCACCCAATCAAGTCACACCCCCACTAGCAGTTAAAAGGAAGAAGCAGCTGCAAGCTCACATCACTCTGAGAAGCACAGAGCTGAAGACAGAAGCCTGAAGATGATGAATGAGACTTCATCGAAATGTTGCCTAGATACTTCCAATCTTACGCGGGAGAAAACCCGAATAACCAAAGATCCATATATATATATATGTGTATATATTTCAATGTTTATATACATGGTGTTTTGTGAGTTTACTTGCTAGCAAATATTATGAGTTTACTTGCAAGCAAATTTTATGTGATAGACTCAGGCAGCAGATAGCAGAAAGATAGATCTCTGAATGAATCTGTGATTCTGTGAGCAACTCAATCTGCCTGCCTGCTTTGCCTGATTTTGGGTAAAAGTTGCTCTTTTTTTAAAATTAAAAATTCAATCTTTACATAAATATGTACAATATTTACATACAAGCCATGCCCAGCCAGACACGTGACCACCAAGCCACTCCCACAAATTAGGCCCCGCTCCAATAATCGGTTGTTAAGAAATTTGAATCCCACCCTTGGATGGTGACCCATGGCGATGCTGCAGTAGTCATATAAGTGTTGAAAAAGTCACTTTTTCTCAGTGACGTCGTAACTTTGAACAGTCAGTAAATGAGTGGTTGTAAGTCAAGGACCTGCCTGTGATTTGTCCTCCAGGTGGGCAGCCGCGTGGGGGTGAAGCGTTGCACTGACGACACCATGCATGTGCTGATCGACGGGGAGGACATGGGGGCGGCCGCCACTGGTGTGGCCAAGGTAAGAAGGCCCCAGGCCGGCCTTGCTCTCTGGGCCCAGTGAGGGGTCTGGGGGTGAGGGGCTGTAAAACTGGGGGCATCCCATCCCATTGGGCTGTGCCATTGGCGGAGAGGGCCCAGCAGGAGGGGGGCAGTTACCGTCACCTCCCACAGACCAGCTGGCATTCATCGGATGGCCCCAGACCGGGTTGGGACTGCTGGGGACCCCTGATTGGAGGGAGGGAGGGAGGGAGGGAGGCAAGGAGGGGAGAATGGGAGAAGGAGAAGGATGGAAGACAGGAAATGGAGGAGAAAGGACAGGAAGGAAGGAAGGAAGGATGGGAAGGAGGGAGGAAGAAGGAAGGAGAAGAGGGAGGGAGGAAGGAAGGAAATAGGGAGGGGAAGAAGGAAGGAAGATAGACAAGGAAGGGTATGGGAATGAGAAGAAGGAAGAGAGGGGAAGGAAGGGAGGGAATAGATGAAAGGAAGGAAAGAAGGAAAATAGATAAGGCGATGGCAATGAGAAGAAAGGAAGATAGGGAGGTAGGTGGGTAGCTACATGATGGTTATAAGAGTTTAAACAAAATGTAAAGCAATTCCATCATGAAAGGCCTTCCTGGTTGTCTTTGTTTTTTTCCATGTGCAGAAAATAGGTAAAGGGAGGGAGAGAGGAAGAAGAAGAAAGAAGGAAGGAAGGAAGGAAGGGAAAGGATGAGAGGAAGGAAGGAAGGAAGGGAAAGGAGGAAGAGAAAGGATTAGAAGGAGAAAGGAAGGAAGGGAAAGG